TCACTCTATTTAAATTGTCACTCAAAATCTCACTCTACGGGCCGTCACTCAAGTTTATACTCAGGATGTCACTCAAGTTTCCCTCGAAGTAAGCAACTCAAAAGTCCATTCAATTTGTCAGTTACATTTGAGTCTAAGCTGTCACTCAACCTGTCACTCAACCTGTCACTCACCCTGTCACTCAACCTGTTACTTAGCCTGTCACTCAACCTGTTGTTAAAATGTCCACTCAGCTCAGTCAAGTCTTCAAGCTGTAATGCAGGTTGCTCTCAGTTTCTCACTCAAGCTGTTACTCAGGCTGTTAATCGCTCCAACTGTTACTCACTCACTCATTCTGTTACTCATTCAAGCTGTTACTCACTCAAGACCTCATAAGACTCACAACAGTAATCTACCAACAGACTAACACGTGGACTAGCCAGGCATATTTACATGACCAAGTTTACAATGGACGTACTGCAACACTCGTCTCTTGGAAAGCTTTTGCGCTATCAAACTGCTCTGGGAATTTTCTTAACTAGGTTTCAAAGTGCTTGCAACATCGTTCTTTAAAGATGGTGTGCCTCAGATTTTCAGAATAATTTGCAATATCCATAGATGATCTAGTAGCGTCATCTATCCTCGGTACTCTAAGTTAGTCTAGTCGTAATAACTGAAATGATATAAAAATCCAAAATGTTCTGTACTGATCAACAACTGTTCCACCCTCCCTCCTCCCCGCCGCTGGTAGTGTGTACAATATTTTCAACTTGATACTGACAGCAGGAACCATCTTGGCCGTACCACCTTTATTATAACAGCTTTACTTAAATCATACTGAATAAGAAACATTTCTCTCTCTCTCTCTCTCTCTCTCTCTCTCTCTCTCTCTCTCTTCACTAAAGAATTGCTATAAAGAAATATGTAAATTTAATTATATTTGTATATAAAAACCAAACGCGTGTCTCTCATGAAGTCTTGTATCGTGTCGTTCACCAAGACACCTAGGAAAGTGCTCACCTACCGATAAAGTTACAGAAATGCTTTTATGGTGGAACAAAAATATGATTTTGTGTGAATTTTCAGTTTGCAGCCGTGCATTAGTAAATTAAACCTCCGAGTTTAAATGGTTTAATGAAATTGTCATTGTCGAAATGACTCGGTTAACCTATTGAACAGATTTAATATTATTGCCGTTATTACATTAAACAGCTCTCAGTGTTGGGCGGAGGAATACTGTGCGTGGCGTGGAGGCCTGTGCAATGTGCATTGTTTTCACAGTATAGCGCCTGTTGACCGGGTTTTTCCGCACCTGTACATGAAGCTCAGTGCTCATGTGGCGATGCTCAGCACTCTCCCTGGCTCTCTCAACACATCACCCATTGTATCACACACCAGGTCACAACCACACACTGTACATGTTATTTATAATATTTTTAGTCACCGTCGTGTGAGCGTATTTCACCACACACACACACACACACACACACACACACACACAGTGGCAATCAAAAGTTCTTAGACTAAATATTTCTCTTATGTTCGCAACTGAGAATAAAACATTGTCCAAGTAAAACAGGACGGCGGTAAGTGTGTGTGTGTGTGTGTGTGTGTGTGTGTGTGTGTGGTAATAGTAGTGTGGTGTAGTAATAAGGTGTGGCAGAGCTGAGAAGAATATTTTATATGGCTGTGTTAATATTGTACACAGAGAACTTGACTAATTCCAGGCTGTACTGCAGTAGACACGTAGGTTTGTATAAATGATGTACAGTTGGAATGAAATATTTAAGACAGAGGGGCTACCTACTGTGTGTGTGTGACTGTCTGTACTGTAACGTCACTATACCTCGTGTCACACTTATGACTGTCGGTGTTGATATGACATGCCTGGTGTGACATAGTGTGGCACAATCGTGAATAGGTATAACACAGTGAGAGTGTGAGGGATATGGCACAGTTGCATCTAGTGTGACACAGCCGAAGCGTGAAGGTGTGTTGAGAGATCAGGAGGGAGCGGCTCAGCTCTGGCCAGGGACACACACGGACAAGGGAATCAATCGGGCTGAGTAGTCGGGGGAGCAGCCCTAAAAATTATCCGCTGTCAGTATACTCGCTGGAAAAAGAAAAAAAGACAAAAATCCTGAGTTAAGTTTCGTTCAGTGGTGTGTGTATGTGTGTGTGTGTGTGTGTTGTAAGGCTGCGTGACCACTGTGTGTGTGTGTGTGTGTGTGTACTTCCTACTGCGTAGCTAATCTCTCACTGCCCCCCTACCTTGTTCTTCACAGGTAGTTCATTAAAACGCTCGATTTAACGTTAAGAGTCGAGCCGCTGTGTCTTGGCTGTTTAAGCAGAACGAAACGAAACGGAAATGAGTGGAAGAGAAAGGAGGAGGGCGGAGGGACAGACGAAATACACAGCCCCAAAAATCTTGCGGAAAAAAAGCCGCTATCGACAAGTGCTGGGACATTTTTTTTTAATTCTCCCTGGATGACTAACCACTAATTTCAGAAATTGGAGGGATATTCTTTACACCGATGTATTGTTCACATTTTTGTGAATGAGAGAGAAAAGGAGAGGGGTGAGGGGGGAGGGGGCAGGGAGGGGTGCGGCTCAGTAGTTTTATTGTGGTTATTGGCACGGAACATTCAGTCCATGTTGAGCCATTTTAAAGTTATACCTGGGCTATTTTTATGTCAACTTTGATTACCAGAGTGTGTCTTGAATAACGAGCCCCACATAGTCTCTTAAAGGCACCGCACTTTATTTACCTGTTATGAAGTTAATTAATATTATGGAGTAATTACGTAAGAATATATCAAAGACGAACAATTGATAATTTTCCGACACCATATCGAGGAGGTTACGACTCATTTTAAGTGTTTTACTCAGGTAATCGAGTAAATTGATTTTCGCTTTGTCATGGCGAGGGTGTGAGGGTGGGAGGGTGAGGGTGGGAGGGTGTATAGATAGCCCAGGTAATAAAGGTGTCAGTACCTCCCTCACAACTACTAGGTCAGGACGCCACTACCTGTGAAACCATATTCCATAAACGAAAAAGAAATCATATAGAAAGCTTTTGGCACCTCAGCTCTTGGAACCTGTTTTTATTCTGACAAATTTTCGACGAAGATTAAACAAGAAATATTACACGAAATATTGACAGTGATTTTGGGGCAGCACGTGGTCGAGAACTGTGGCCAGGTCCTGCTTGGCCATTGACAACACACCGACCTGGCCAAGATGTGAACTGGCCATCAGTACTCGGTATCTTGGGCAGTTTCTTGGTAGTACTGGAAAGGCGAGAGGGTCAAGGAGTATATGGTGGGTTGAGTAGCCATTTGTTAACAGACCCTCCCTCTCACTTCCCTCCACACGTCCACCACCCTCACCCCCACCCCCACCCCCACCCCCACCCCCACCCTCACATATCACCTTTACCCTCACGAAAATACGGTATTTAAATCAAACATAAAAGGACATACTCGGTACCAACTTTATTCTGTGTCTTACTCAGGCGGTTAAATGTGACCTTAAAGTCTCTAGTTAAGGCGGAAATATACCTTCAGTGTCTCTGAGAATATGACCCAGTGGTGGTGGTGTGAGTGACCGCTACAGGTGTTACTGTGGCAGGTGTAGTGTCATAACAGGTGTTGTGACATGTGAGGTACACCGGCGGCTGAAGGTTAACATCAGTAAACTTGATGAAGAAGAGTGTCTTCCTCCCTGTCTTGTGGCCTCTGTTTTATTATTTTACTGCTCCGAGTCTTGTTCTTCTCTTATTTTTAACGCCCCACCAAGGCGGAAGATCTTGCCACTGGCCGTGTGTGTGTTTGTCTCGTGTATTTATTTTTGTCTGCGTGTCTCTGTTTCCCGCAATATCTACGGACCTGAGGGAGGTTTTGGGTGACAACCAGGGACAACATGACAACAGTTCACGGTCACACTGGAAGGTCAAAACTGGATTACTAAAAGTTTTCTTGTGTACGACAGTTGTTCAGGGCGGCGGCAGCGACACACCACCACCTCTGCCAGACGTGCACCACACACCTCGGTTATGAGTACTGTACATTACACTGTAGTGCTAACAAGTTTACTGTTGTGTTGTCTAGTGATGATTATACTTGTAAAGTTTTAACAGTATTTTATGGTTACACAGCCGAGAACTGCCGCTGCAGATTTGCATATTTATATTTATGATTGGCTGAAAACCCGGTTTTAGTGGAAGGATTTATTGTCAAAAGGCTTAACTTTTGAGTAAACTTCTTTGTTGAAGTTTACACGGGTTCACTTCTCTCAGCTGATCCAGGAGAACAAGGCTCCTCACCGCAATGAAATGAAAAGTTGTTGGTGAAACTGTCGAGATTACCTGAGAATTAAGGCCAGGTGTCCCGCCCTCTGTGACTCCCTCGCTCTCTCTTACCAACCATCTACATCCTTACTACTGTCATCATCATCATCATTGATCTTATAAATAATATTATCATTATTACAAGATTACATTTTACATAGTGTAGTTTAGTAGCTGAGAGGACGATTGAGGTCAGAGTTCAGGTCACAGATTAATAACACAAGAATACCTGTAACTGACTGACAAATGTTACCCAGGAATATAACTCAGAAATTACCTTGAGACGCCAACTTAACAAGATAACGTTCACTCAACACGATACAAAATTAACTCACAGAAGATATTGTAAAAAAATTATTTACCTAAATTTTGTCTCCAAATCGATGTCAAGTAAGTTATTTATTTATGATGATGTCACTATAATATATAATCGATTATTGTTGTTTTATATGTGTTATAATTTCACATGTCTTTTTTATATAAGTGTTAGTTGTATATATTAAGATTATTAAGCATATATTCTGCCATCAAGTTTTTATATAGATACAAAAAAAAACATATTACCAATACCATTAATAATAAAATTCAAACCAGGTGTGTTATATTCGTGTAACACCCAGGTAACACCCAGGTAACACCCAGGTAATGACTGTCTCCTCTCTCCCCAACACAGAGCCAAGAGTGACCGAGTCTCTGTCTGTAGTGAGGAACGAGAACGTGGTGAGGATTCGGACTCTCAGTTCTCCTACAGCGGCGCCAGTTCTCCCTCACAGGTGAGTCTCAACCCGTCTCTTCGTTCCTCTGTCCTCCCCCTCACCTCTTGAGTGGGAGGACCCGGTGTAGCATGATTGAAAGGCCTGAGTGGGATTTTTAGAGGTGTGGCAGGGTGTAGGGAAGGTGTAAGTGGGAGTGATCAAGAGTTATGGGTGTGGGATTGAGAGGTGTGAGTGGGAACAGGGAATAACGTGAGTGGGCTTATTCTTGAAGAGTTACTGATAAATAAGAGAGAGAGAGAGAGAGAGAGAGAGAGAGAGAGAGAGTGAGAGTACCATGACCTAGAAGAGGAAGAAAGAGAAGAGAGAGAGAAGGGCGGATATGTAGATGAGGTCTATAAGAGAGAGAGAGAAAAAAAATGATGCGTCGTTTTTCAAGAGTTCCCACGTGGCTCTTAAGACGTGTGTGTGTGTGTGTGTGTGTGTGTGTGTGTGTGTGTGTGTGTGTGTGTGAGGAAAATATAGTATAGAAGATGATCCTCTGTTTATTACCTTGTCTAAATCCGGGTCTTGTTTAACACCTTGTGACAATCTACCTAGCGGGTTACCTTCAACTCCCAAGACCTGGTAGATGCTCACTCACCCATCGTCTTAATGTTATGAAGATTCGTGGGATATTTATGTGTTTTATTTTTCTTCGTTACGTTATACCTGAACACATGCAATACACACCTACCTCTCTCTCTCTCTCTCTCTCTCTCTCTCTCTCTCTCTCTCTCTCTCTCCACCGTAGTAGTGGTAGTACAACTCTCCCATCGTTTTCCACTCAAAGGCAAAAAATACTAAGGGAAGTAAACGGATGTAGACCGCTTAAAAAAGTTGGCGTTTTTCCCCAGCCATCCAGTATCACGGAATGTTAGAGCTGTGAGAACCAATTTTTTTTTTTATTTGGCCGGTGTTTTTTGCTGACGGGTTATATCTGGATAAAATTGTAACAAAATATTTATTTACCTTAGCCCATAAATTATGTGATTTTTTATTTTTTTTTTCGTGTTTTAGTGTGTTGTGTTGTAGTGGTGGTAGTGGTAGTGGTGGTAGTGGTGGTAGTGATAGTAGTAGTGATGATGGTGGTGATAGTAGTAGTAATGATGGTGGTGATATAAGTAGTGGTAGTAGTAGTAGTAGTGCCATTAATGATAGTAATAATAGTAGTAGGAGTGGATCACGTGAAGATTAGGCTACCCAGCATATTTTACCTTAAAGTTAACCATCCTAAACTGACCTGACCTGACCTAACCTAACCTAACCTAACCTAACCTTGTATGTGTGTGTATATAAGAGGTAGTTGGTGGTTGTCTGCCCCTCAAGTGCGCGAGTCTATAATTAATAAGTATAAGTGGACTGACTGACCTGACCTCCTTCCCATCCTCCTCCTCCTCAGCCCCCTGTGCTCCCTATTCTCCTCCTCCTCCTCTTCTTCCTATCCTCCTCCTTTTCTTCCTCTCCTCCTCCTCTTCTTCCTCTCCTCCTCCTCCCGCGGATCGACAACACAAAACACACTTCATATGGAAGGTGGAGAGAGAGAGAGAGAGAGAGAGAGAGAGAGAGAGAGAGAGAGAGAAAAATACGGGAGGTAATATATCCAGTAGAACGAAGAGGAGTATAAAGATGACTCTACAAAATGCGACCAACCACAGTGATTGCGACTCATCAATAACGCACAAATTAATTAAAAGCCTCGACCAACAATGAACGCTCTGGACAGGATCCCGACAGCACAGGCAAAAATAAGCACGAATTGAAAGCGTTTTTTTTTATTTTTATTTATTTTTTCTCTTGTTTTTTTTTTTGCGTCTGCCGACTCACTTTTGTGCGTCGCTGCAATTTGTAGAAATGTTTGCCAATTTCCAAAACATATTTCGTGTAGTTATTAAAAGATTGCGTCATTTTTTTTCCTTGGTTGGTTGGTTAGAGAAGGAGGGTGGGGGGTAGAGGAAGAGTTCTCAAGGTTTCCCCCATATGGTGGTGATGGTGATAATAGTGGTGATAGTGAAGATAGTGATGGTGGTGATAGTGGTGGTGATAGTTCTCGTAATGGGGGAACAAAAACAGATGAACACAGAGGAATGCTACATCTCTTTCCTATAATAATAAATATGTTAATAATACTATGGATACACACTAGTGAGGAAGACTAAAGCAGAGACCAGAGGAGGTAAAACTGTTGGCGAGGAGGAGGAAGAGAGATGACTAATTAATAAAGAACTCACAAGAAAGGAGGACGAAGATAAAAAAGTGTGATTGATGAAAGACACGCAAGTATAGAGGAGGAGAGAGAGAGAGAGGCGCAAGCATAGAGGAGAGAGAGAGAGAGAGAGAGAGGCGCAAGTATAGAGGGGGAGGAGAGAGAGAGAGAGGCGCAAGCATAGAGGAGGAAGTGGATGAGGAGAGAGCGAGAGAGACAGAAGCATAGAAACGAAGGAAGGATGAGAGAGAAAACTTGATGAACGAGAGAGAAAGTGAGAGAGAGAGAGAGAGTCAAGAACAAAAACACTGGGTGAGGAACAATACGATTCACCAATACGTGAGAAAAAAAAATCATCATTAAAAATCTTGTGACCAAAAACTTAGCGACGATCAAAAGTGTAGATTAGTTTTAGCCTCGATTAAAATGCTGTTGTTGTTAAGATAATTACATTATGAATATACAAGTTTGAAAATAACCGAGCGGAGTGAAAAAAAAAACAGTTAGCGACAATGAATTTCTTACAGTATGCTCTACCTCCCTTCCCTCTCTCCCTTACCCTACCCCTCTCCCTCCCTTACATTTCCACCCTCCCTCCGTTTCTCCCTTCCTCCCTTACACTCCCCCTCTCCCTCACTCCCTCACTTACTCTCCTTCCCGCATCCCTCCTCCCTTACACTCCCTTACCCTACCCCTCTCCCTTCCTTCCCTTACTCCCTCCCTTACACTCCTTACCTCTCCCACTCCCTCCCTTACACATTCCCACCCTCCCTCCGACACTCCTTCCCTTACTCCCTCACTTACTCTCCTTCCCGCATCCCTCCTCCCTTACACTCCCTTACCCTACCTCCCTCATTCTCTCCCTTCCTCCCTCGCCTTACACACACTCCCTCCCTTCCTTACACTCCCTTACTCTCCCTATACCCGACGACGCTGTTAATGGTCAGTATTGTGAGTTATGAACACAACCAAATATTATAAACACAAGTTAAATTTACAGCACCACTTTCGATGTGATGATGATGATGATGATGATGATGATGATGATGATGATTGTACTACTGTTACTAGTGCTATTAGTTCTACTGATGATACTGTACAACTATTACTAGTATTTATGCAAACGCTCCTGTAAATGGAACCACCACCACTATTTCTACTACTATTATTACTATTACTACTACTACTACTACTACTACTTTTTTTTACATGGCCTTCAACCTCCTCTTTTAGACACACCTTCGCCACAACTACTACTACTACCACCAACACTAACACCAGAGGCTGGTCATGTAGGCAATCAGACAAACAGGTAAGCAAGCAGGAAAGCTGACTGTATGGGCATGTAAGCAAGCAGGGCTGATAGGCAGACATGCATGACGATAGGCAAGGAAACAGACAAACAGGCTGATAGACAAACAGGTTAGCAAGCAAGCACGTAGATTGATAGACAGACATACTGACAGACAGACAGACAGGCAGGCAGGCAGCGGCTGGCGTTATTAAACTGTTCATCCACAGTTCACAATGGGGATGACCAGAGGCAATTTTACCCGCTGATGTTGTTCGATTGTCCACATGAATATTACATCAGGCGAGATTTACCCTCGACCCGTACATGTGAGCGTGTGTACGTATAGGGAACCTCTCCTGCCTGTGCACTCAACTCACTCACTCCTGTATAACTCACAGCGTTTGAGTGCACGTATAGTAAACTGTGTTGGTGGTGAGTGTTTGTGTCTCGTGTACTCGATCCGAATGTTTACTGTAATGCTCTCTCTCTCTCTCTCTCTCTCTCTCTCTCTCTCTCTCTCTTGGAAACGATGTAGAATTAGTTCAAAACCTCCTCACTCTGGCTCTCACGGGTCATGGATACTGATAACCCCTGCCTCCTCTTCCCCCTCTTGCATTACCGTCCACCAATCACCGCTTTATTTATCCATTACCTCATGACGTCACCACCAATCACCGCTCTTTTTATTAGCTTCCTCATGACGTCATCACCAATCACCGCCCTTTTTTATTCTCCATATCATGACGTCACCGATCACTGCCCTTTTTATTAGCTTATTCATGACGTCACCAATCACCGCCCTTTTTACTCTCCATATCATGACGTCACCACCAATCACTCCTTTTTATTCTCCATATCATGACGTCACCACCAATCACCGCCCTTTTTACTCTCCATATCATGACGTCATCACCAATCACTCTCCTTTTTATTCTCCAAATCATGACGTCACCACCAATCACCGCCCTGTTTATTTTCTTCCTCATGGCTTCACCGCTAAGTCTTACGATACCATTTATGGAATTTCGTGAATTATGACAATGCTATTAGAGATTCATATCGTGTTGTGGTATATATATATATGACTTACCATAACCTCTTGCTATAACATCCCTCCTCTCCTTTCTGTTTCCCTCTCCTCCCCAATTCCTTCCCCCTCCCCCCTCCTACTCTGATCCTTCCCCCCTCTCCTCTGTGATTCTTTCCCTCCCCACTTTTTTCTCCCCTCCTTTACTCTGGTTCTCCCCTTCCCCACTCTTCCTCCATCCTCACTCTTCTTCTCCTTCCCATCTTCTCCCCATCCCCACTGGTCTATCCCCTCCCCTCCCCTCCCCTCCCTCTCTCCCCGGGGGGTGTGGTAGCCAGGTTCGCCAACGACCCATCACCACCAAGTAGAGATGATGCCATTGAACTCATCAAATAATCCGCGATCATTAATCTGGCCTCGCTCGTATGATCTACCATTTATCACCCACCGTCGAAGAGAGGGTCAGGGAGGGAGGGAGGGAGGGAGAGGGAGGT